CGCACCATCTCCCGGGCGCCTGCGAGCGATCGCCATGCGCGGGCCCAGCGCGTCTGGAAACAATGAAAAGCCCAAACTGTGAAGGCGAAGGAGGGGCCCTGAAGGGGTGCCCGCGCTGCGTGTTTTAAAGTGAACAGACTGATATAAATATTTGAATCCTGTGCCTAGATAGACGGAGAAGAGAAAATGAATTAGTCATGTCCCAGGCCCGTCTGGGGACACCGGGAAAGCAGCTTCTGCCCCATTTGCTAGTGAGCAGCGACAATTAAAACCTCCGCGTCCGGGCTGCCGGCCTGGAGTCTCAGAGACGGAATTAGCTGTTTGTTGTGATTTGACAGTTAAATTATTAACACGTGGAGAAGGTAACTGCCCCCCCCCCAAAGGTAGAAAACACACGAACAGTCTCTCTCCTTAATTTAAAAATGATCTGTGCCGAGAGCCCGCACTTCGGCCAGCCTCTGCTAAATTAAAGTGACATGTGTTTTTATTTTAGGAGGCAGGGATGGTTTGCTGTGCCCTGTGTGAGGAGGGCAAGTAAAACAGAGGGTTTTTTTTTTTTTAAATGTGACCATCTACTTAACGGCTTAAAAATTCCAAATGCCAGACATTTTTTCTTGGAGGAAATTAATGTCTCCTATTTATCCGTCTTACCTGCTGATTACATTCTATCATTCTTTAGTTTATAATTTAATCCTTGTTTAAAACCGAGGATGTCTTTGGAATCTAAAAAGCGTAGGTCTGTTTGCTCCGGGGACCTCGGTGCCTCCCTGCTCAGAATCCCAGCCCCGAGCCCGGGGCCTGTCCCCCTGCCCGCCCGAGGCTGAGGCGGAGCGGAGCAGGTCTGTCGGCAGCAGCCACCGCTGTCTGCAGACGGCGCGTGATGGGAGACATGTGCTCAGCTCACACCGTTTTGCTCTGATTTATTTTAAACCAGTTAGGATGATTTTAGCACAAAGAGGGGTGTATCTGACTTGCATTCTGCGAGGCCCGGGATTTTCGGGCTGAGGACAATTCTTTTTTTTTTCTTCCCCCAAACCCAAATTTAGAAATTGCCTTTTAGAGTCGAAAACAGCGCCCTGGCTCGCCTGGTAACTCACTTTAAAAGAAAGAGGCTTGGGATCAAATGCATTTGATTTGTAGATTTCTTCCCATCTGTTGTTCTCCTGGGGCTGTAAATGGCCCACTTAAAAAAATAAGATAAGGCAAACATGTTCGCTCCAGGCCACCCGGTCCTGCTGGGGACGTGGGCCCCAGAGGCCCGCATGAGTCACCGTCCTCTGCACGCCTGGCATTCGGCTCTCCTGTCGGCGTGGAAAAAAGACAGACCCTGCCTGGCTGAGGTACCCTCACACCTCTGCCGGCCACTTCCCCCGGCCGGGCCGCCAAACTCGGGGGCATACATCCCTGTATGTGAAACTGGGCCCTGTATAAACAGCATTATTTTAAAGCAAACCCCACAAAATCTTCACTAATGGCAATTCCACCCTGGCTGCAGGCACCACCTCCAGGAATGGGGAAAAATCCCCTGGAATGCAGGAAACACACTTGCTCCCCCGGGGAAATTGTCTGCCCTGCAGGAAGGTGCCTGGACTGGAGGTCTAGAAGCTGCCGCAGGGACACCGGAGACGCCAAGCCTTCGGTTAGGTCCTGGGCTCGTAAGTGAGACCCCCAGATTTCAAACGAGAAGGAAAGGGTCTGCCCCGGCCCCACATCGGGGCTGCGGCAGGAATATCGCAGCGGCAGGCGGCCAATGTTTGCACAGCAGAGCTGCCCGGTTTCGTTTTCTGTCTGAAAGTGTTTCTCTAAAGAGGGGAAAGCGCTAGAGACACGCGAACTCCCGTAATCATCTTTATAACTTTCCTGGCAACACAGGATTGTGATTATTTATGTAAACTCATTAGCAGCAATTCACTTTATTCGCAGAATGGATTCTATCTATTTGACGTCTAAGAAATACAGTTGTATCAGCAATACGATCATTTTCTAATTATAAAAGCAATGTGGGCTCCTTGCAGGAAATTTGGACAAGGCAGAAAAAGGCAGGGAAGGGGGAATTGTTCCTCCTCCTCCCAGGAAAGTTCTGGTCACATTTGTGCGAATCGCCTCCCCTCTGCCCTGGATTCCCTCGGCCTCTGGTTTCGGATGCCTTCACGGTGCGCTGGGCTGGGCCCCCTACCCTCCTGGTGCTTCCGTTCTTCCCTGCCAGCTGCTCCTCTCCGGCCCTCAACCGCCTTCCTCGGTCCGGGGTTGGGGGGGCGGGGGGACTGCAGCATGGCCCTGAGGCAGGACCCAGCCCACGGGCCGATCAGGGCGTGGACGGGAAGGGCGCACTGCACGTGGCAGACTCCAAGCGTGGAGATGGAGGGTACGGAGAGTCCTGCTCCACGCAGGACAGAGCGGAGGTGGGGGGAACGACAGAGTGACAGTCGGGCCTGAGGTTTTAAGTCTCGGCAAAGAAAGAGGCTTGGGCCAAATCCCAAGTACCGCTTCTCAGGCGAGCAAAGTCTCACCCGCACCGCGCCGCGGAGATAATGTTTCCCAGGTGCTGGGCCTGGGCCTGACCTCCACCCACCCAGCGCCACCGGGGTTGGTGCCAAGTGGCTCGGAGGCAGAGACGGGCCAGCACTGATTCCCAAATGCGCGCTGCAATCAGGCCTGTGCCTCGGCTGGTCCCACAAATCTGTCAGGCGAAAGTTCCCGGGCCTCTGGGGGGGTTGGGAGGGAAGCAAGCTGATTTCCATACGGCTTCCTGGACTAAGTGCGATCCGAAGGGAATTCTAGAATTTCCAAGTTCATTCTTGGTCGGATTAGTGGAGCCTACAGGGATCTGCCTTATCCCCCTTAGAATAACGCAATGGCTCCAGCATCCTAGCAACAGATAGCCCTGCAGACAAAGTTTACAGGCAAAACCGTGGTTGTCATGTTAGTTATAGCGGAAAAATGCTTCCGCGAAATGAAAGCTGGAAGAACAGGGAAAGCCCGGCTAAATTTCATGTCACAAAAGAATGGAATATTGTGCCACTGTTAAAATGCTATTGACAAAGCATTTGTAACAACATGGGGACACAAAACTTTGCAAACTGTAAATGCAGGTGTGAATTATGTAATTGAATGCCCAGGTCAACTGTGGGGAAGGAATTACAATAGAATATTATTTCTGGATAATGGCACGTAGGTGAATTTTTTCTTTTCCCATGTATTTTATACTTGAACTATTTATATTTTACACTTACTACTTAAATGGTCTCTATCTTAAATAGCTATCTTTATATTTTACTCCTAAATTACTTATACTTTAGACTTAGCTATGCCTTCTCTAAACACATGGTGTTTTTATAAGCGGGGGAAAATCCTCTTTAAAGGCTTGTGAGTGGAAATATAGACAAATGGCATATTTTCCTTCAGAAGTTGCGGATAGATGGCACTGAGCAGAAATATTCATTAGGCCCACAAATAGGTATAGTAAGTAAATATCATACGTTCCCTTAAAAAAGATTTGCATATAGGTGGCTTATTCATCAAACAGGACATGGATTCCCTAACCAAACATATGTGTTTGCACAACCACAGCGTAAAAATTCCCAAGATGTTTTGTGAACTTAAGGAGAAATATGTTTGTCCCCCAAACAATAGCATTGAGAAAGGAAAAAAAAAAAAAGAAAGAAAGAAAACGGTGCTCCGCTCCTTGGCTCCGTGGTTAGACTTTGCTTGAATGCGAGTTTGTACTTTCCGTGTGACTGCTTGGTTTTTAGGGGCCATTTAAAAGTTCCTGTCGGAGAAGTATATAGAACGTGAATTCATGACGCCAGATGAAAAACTGTAGTCTTTGGGCGGAAATTGTAGTGGTTTATTTATATATTCATCATTTGCTTTCTTAAAAAGAAAGAAAGAAAGAGAGAGAGAAAGAAAAGAAAGAAAGAAAGAAAGAAGAAAGAAAATAATTTTTCCCCAGCGGCACTTCTCAGGGCTGTTGTATCACAAAATATTATTCCGCGCCCTGAAGTCACTCGCTGACTCACAGGGTGCCTGGCCGTGTCAAGACAAAAGGTGGGCATTAAAAAAAACAACAAAAAAAACAACCCATAACGCTACAGGATTCTGTGAAATGGAAAAATCTGTTTCCGTGTAAAATATCCGCCTTCAAGCAAATGGCCTTTGCTTCCCTGGAAAACGAACGCCCAGGGCCGGCGGTGCTGGGAACAGTGCAACCTTTAAAAAATGAGGAGTCAGCAGATACCATCCTGTCCCGGCGGCTGGGAAGGCCCGGCGGCGGGGGATGCTCTGAGCTGCC